TACATCACAGGGTACCTGTACTAGTAAATTTATCTAGAACGTTAATTTGCTGCTCGGTAAATATTAGAATTTTGTATGAAAGCAAAGTTCAGATTTTTAAGGCAGTTTTAAATAAGTAGATATTTACGACCCTCTCTTATAAAGCGGATTTTTAGTGGCTAAAAACTTTTTCTGAGCAAACAGTCTCTCTCTCTATAAAACTTTATTAATGCCGTCAGCAAAGTTTAAGGATATTCGTATCTTAGGAATTACACGAGAGTTAATCGTTATGAACTCTTAAAGCATTCGAAGTTTCCGTAAATGCTAATAATAAAATAAATTGCCGAAAAATGGGCATAAGGTAACTAAACGATTAAAAACTTTTTAAAATCATACAAGGAAATGCAAAATCCTACCCGCTGGTTATGCTATTTTTATAAGATAAGTGCTTAGTTAATTGACTAATTATTAAAATAATTATTGACGCAATGCTTTCTCGTTGTTTGAAAACTCAAAAAGATTTTTTGCAGTATTAACTTTTTACATTAATTTAGTGATATTTGTTCTGAAATACACGATTCCGACGTGATTCTTTAGACACAATAGAAACTTGTTCCCCATTTTTTCCATAATTTTTGGACACCGAAAAAATCAATCAAAAACACAATTAATTGCGTCTAAATAATTTTTCTTTGGTGTGCTGTTAGTTTTAAATTGAAAATAAAAGACTGTACTGGTAAATTGGAAACTACAAATCCAGTTTTTGAACTTCCTAAAACTTGGTTGCAGTTACCTGGAGTCATCGGGTTGAAAGTTTGGAAATGCATACCTTTCTCCTAGAAAGTTCGAACGTTTGTCAAAGTGCTTAAGCTCTCGCTTGAGTCATCGCCATTGCTCCAATTTCTTTTACTTTGTTAACACTTTGCGGTCCATTGCAGCTGTGCACAGTTCTGTTGTAATTCACGACTTATTACTTATCTTAATTTTGTTACTAATTGATTTTTTCGTTTAAAAATAATTGGGGTAAATATTAAGTACCTATTTGTAATATTCGAGACTGCTGGAACTGTCAGAATGTAGCTCCATTATAATTTTTATTTGAATATTGAAAAATTTTTTGGTTTTGATTGTTATAATTTTTGTTTTATTCATTTATGAGTTGATGAACTACAAAATTTTGTTTGCTATCTCTAATTTATACTATCTATTATTGAAACATCCAATTTAGTAATTTTTCAGATTTAAAGATTCCTTTAAGAAACACAATATAAAGAAATATGAATATCTTATAAAATCATTGTTTCCAATATCATTTATTGGTGTTTGAAACATTAAACATTAAAACTAATATCACAAAGAGAATAGATTTTATAAATTTGTGATTTACTTGAGTAAAAACTGTATGAAGTTTTAGTTATTAGTAGCTCGTTATATAATTCGAATGGATTGCTTTTATGCTAAATGCAAAACGTGTTTATCCAATTTGCCTACGTTTTCAATATTTTCGTCACGTAGGTGTCGGTAAATAGTTTAGTGTTAGTTGAAGAGTTTATCATTCCTTAACTTCACGAAACAGCGATGGCAAAGGAATTTGCGTTCGTTTTGAAAAACGTGAAATATTTACAAGCAAATTAAAGTAAAATTAAAGTGAAAACGTATCGTAGGAATTTAATCACGACATTGTTTGGCTACCTTACGTACGGAGGAGGGAGATTAAATCTAGGGAGGCGATGATCGCTACCCCGTTTTCCGCGTTATTCACAGATACCTCCATGTAGGTAATGCGGCGATATTGCTTGTAACATTTTGAATAAGGAATGAAGGGATTCATTTTAAGACATTTTTATTTTATTTGCAGTGGACTTCGGGTATAACTGTAACTTCGTCGTTATATCCGGAAGTCGAATAGGCAAACGTAAAGAGATACAGACACGTATGTATAATTTTCTCCATTTTCAATTTTTTTAACAGTTAAATTTGCATCTGGAAATCACATTTGCTCTTTGTGACATTGGCAGTCGACTCCAGTCGCTATATCTGCATTTTTTAGGGATTTGTTACAAATGATTCATTAAAAACAGTCACTATATCCGAACTCGCCGTTACATCTGAAGTATCTATAGCCACAGGAATTTTGTACTAAAGTATGCTTTAAATTCAAGAGACTTAGATTTAATGTCGCTGTAGCAAAATGGTCGCTATAACCAAGGTTGTAATAAATGAAATCCATTATAGTTACAATCCTAACTAATATTATAAATGCGAATTTGAGTTTCTTTGTTTGCTTCTTTTCTACCACTTCACGCCTTAACTATTCAATTGAAGTCTTGTACACACACTGTCAAGGACAGAAGGTATATTTTATACGAAAAAAAATACAACGTGTACTTATACAACACGCTACTGAAGTGAAACCTCTTCAAACACACAAACATACCGGGGTAAGGATTAAGGAATTGGTTTAATGGTATTATTTGCACACTATGAATTTAAATTTTACGCTATACATGCCGGAGTTGCCTGTAACAAACGTTGCGTTGAAGCGCGCTCGCGGCTCAAGCGATCCCCGCTTCGAACTCGACTACGTGGCCGAGTAGAGGGGACGACATCCGTTGCATGATTTCGTTACATAGCAACTCGCATGAAACGAACTTACCCAACTGTGCGTAAAGAAGTTTCACTTTAATAAATACTGTTCCTGAGGGATAAAAAAAAATAGTTTTTCCTGATTGTTGATGATTTTTGACATGTATTTAGGACATCAACGCAAACAAAGCTGTGGATAAAATCTAGTAATTATTCAAACATCACAATTTTTTGGTCCTAACCATGGTATATAATAAAATATTCGCGATTTTTAATTGAAAATTCCGATTAATCTGTAATACCCAGTATGTTGAACGTAAGCGCGTTAGTTAGTTCTATCCTGTAATTAGACATTAACTTTTAGATAATTTTACAATGTACCTAGTAGATATCAGTGGAAGGGTTACAAATATTCATTACAATCCTATACTTTCGCTAAAACTAGTGATATTAGCACATTATTATACATGTGTTTGATTTCAATTTTCTTGTATTGAACTTACATAAAAACGAGCTTCATAAAGATTATATAGATACGTATATATGCACGTAGTTACAATTATTTTAACGCAGTTATGGAATTGCATGCAGGAGATTTGCCATCGATAAGGACTTCTAAAGAGAGTATTACGTCATTTTCTCGTTAATATCCGTTAGAGCGAGAAAAACAAATAATGAAAGTTGCAACCACCTGACATTATTCCTCCCAGGTACATAAGTAACTTTTATTAATAATGAAAAGGGTAGGAAGCCAAATTAAAACAATAAATTTCACGTTGATAAAAGTTTTAATGAATTAACTTCGGTCGCGGGGGTTTTAGTGCTGTAGCAGTCGCATGCTATTGTACGAAGCGTTACAAGAACAAATTTCAATTTAAAATAGTAGTGAGTAGGTAAGTACTAACGGGTATTAATAATGAGGGAATAATAATTTCCATTTTTCCGTCCGAGGCTGGAACAAAATTGCCTCTAATTTTAAATGATTATTACGAAAGAAATGAGATTCGTGACAATTCTTGCGTCTTAGTTTATCATAACGACCCTTTCTTTAAAAGTTTTAGCTACATCGACTTTTATTATTCACTACTTTACATTTCTGACGATTACTAAATAAATCTTAGAAAATACTACAAATGGCGCAGTAAACGCCATCTGTAGCACGATGCTACATTTTAGGATTACGTATGCTCCAACAAGGTCCACTTGTGTGGATATCTACTTGCTGAAAACGAATCCCGGCGNTTTAGACATAATTTAACTACTAATCGTAAGTTTGAAGAAGTCGGCAGATGATTCATTCATACTTTCTTGAGCTTATTCGGAAGTAGACAAATCATTTGCTGATATCGTTAGCAAATATATTAATCGATTTCTTTTAAAAGCAAAAGTTGCTGAGATTTATTTAATCGGCCTAATTATATTTTCATTTGGCCTACACTTGCGTGCGCATTCACCCACACAATTAGGGTTAGAATATGTTTTTAAAATAATTATTTTCTCATCACCTAAATAATAGAAATTAAGGAAATTATGTAGAATACACTGACGAAAGCTAAAAATTTAACTACACAGGAATTTAAATAACTGCAGTGATGAACCTTTGTTTACCATAACATTTTCTATAGAGATAATTTAATGAAGTTGAAATTATTAGTAATTAAACATGGGTATAATGAAAGTAAGATATTACGTACCATTTTAACTATTTCTACTATAATTAACAACACATTACAGGCAAAATTAACACAAATAAACCTCCCAGGCACACCTCATAATCAACCTTTCCACTATCCACTCATTCAATGTCATAGATAATAGATCTACAAAGGGTAATAGATGGTCAACTCGAAATGCGCCGATTTGCGCGCCCTCCGGCAGGTGTAGTCAATACTAAATAAAAAAGGCGCGCACTTTAAATTTGTTAGTTACTTATTGTTTTTCGTAATGTATAAGTTAAAGTGAAAAATGGATAAGAAACAATGTATTTTCCTTTTTTATAAAAGAAAAGACATTGTCTCTTTTGTAAAAAAGGAAATACATTGTTACTTGTCCATTTTTCACCTTAACATAAGAATTTGGGAATTTTAAAGTGTAAAAGTAATAATAAGTGAAATAGTAAAAAAAATTTATTGAATGTTAACAAATACACTTGTACAAAATAAAATATTTTATGTAATTTGAAGAGACAATTGAGGAAATAGAAAAGGCCACAAAACAGAAGAAACAGTAATACAGTTTAACAATTTTTAACTAAAACCTTTCAATAATGTACAATTAACATTTTGAACACAAGATAATTAATAATGAAGGTAAAAAATAGTTGTAGCAACTTACGTGTTCAGATAGAAATTGATGCCGAACACTGAAACAATATTGAAGAAAAGGGGTTGTAAACAATTCCAAATTACTTAATACCAGCGAGTGGGTAGTGGAAATAAATGGCTATTCCGCCCATCTGAGAACACCAGCAATAAAAGTCATTAGATCGTTTAGTTTTTTTTTTTTTTTTTTTTTTGTGGAAGAGGGGAAATCTTCGAAAGACACCCAGCCGTCCGTACGACTGGGTAGTGTTGGATTCCCTCACAGGAGGACCTACCAACTAAAATCCCTCTCCCGTATAATAGGTTTTGCTAGGAATGGTACACCTAAAAATAAAGAATTAATAATAAAAATCTTTACATGGTACATACGAAATGCTGTGGTAAGTAATTTTTGCAGAAGCGTCATGCAGAAGGATGGATCGAAGTCAAAACTGAAGAAGGAACGTCATCGTTGGTGACTGTGAAAATAATGCAAATTATTGTTACAAAATACCTTGTAAAAAGTCCCAAGTATGCATAAAAATTGAATATTACTGAAACTATTCAGCAACATTTACCAAAAACTGTGTTAGGACAAATTAAAGGGATGCTAGTAGAGTGGCGAAAATTATCTCTGACTGTGAAATCTGTAAAAA